ATATGGAAGAGGATGGGCTGCCAAGAAAATATATGAAACTTTTGAGGATGACAGTTCATTAACTTGATTATGGTTAAGGTTTTACATTTGTGTACCTGTCAAAATTTATACGGAATTGTACACTTTATGTATAGTTTATGGTATATTCATTGTACCACAACAAAGACGGTTAAAAATAAAACTAATCTATTATGTGATTCCCGCACAGCTCTGGTTTTATTAATCTTATAGCCATACAACATTCTGAAAGGTTTTCCATTTTGCCATATAATTTATTTTTCTTAGGAATCCCAATAGAATTCACTAATAAATGAGTTTTTAAGACACCGTTTTTTTTTTCTTTTGTTTGTTTGTTTTGATTTTCTGAGACAGGATCTGGCTGTGTATTTATTTATTTATTTGGTACAGGGTCTTGGTATGCAGCTCAGACTCATAGTGATCCTCTTGTCTCAGTCTCCCCAGTGGTGGGATTACAGGCCTGTACTACCACGCCTGGTTTTGGTGCGCAGTGTACCAGGGGTGCCAGGGCCGGAATGGCATGTGATACTAGGGAACAAACCCAGGGTCTTCAGCTTGCCAAGCAGGTACCCAGACTGCTGAGCTATCCCCCCTACTCTGGCTATGTAGATTAGACTGGCCTTGAGCTCACTGTGCTGCCAGGCTGGCCTCCTGCCTCAGCCTCCCACATGCTGATATTATAGGGGTGCACCATCACACCCTATGTTAAATTCTGATCTTACTCTTAAAGTTTTAAGAATTCAGTCAGCAATAAATATTTATATTAGTTAGTAACAGAATTCATAGACATTTGTATATGGTAAAAGTATACTAATTCTTTGTTTTTGTTTGCAACGGCGGGGATTGAGCCCAGGGCCTTTATGCTGAGCTATAGTCCCAGAGGTTTCTTAGTTTTTAAGATAATATCTGGGGTGGGGGGTAGATGGGTTAAAAAAAACATAAGATCTTGCTATCACTAAACAGCTCACGCTGGGCTCAAATTTATGATCCTTCTATTTCAGTCTCCTAAAGTGCTGATCAAACTAATTAAGTAGAAATATAGATGACTAGATATCAAAACAATATATCATTTAAGACTTGCGAAGCCTAAATCAGCTGATAGTGAATGGTCAATTCAGTACCTTCTGAGATTAAGATATTCCCATACTTGAAAATCAAGCATAAATTAGAATAAAGCAGGGAGAGGGGAAGAAAGCTAATCATCATCATTTCTAATTATACCATTCTGTTATCATACAAAAGGTATTTGAAGATATCATGATGTCAAAATGTGGAGAAAAAAAGAATCATTTCTACCTTATTACACATGTTGCCTTAAAATATTGATGCTCCTATCAACTGAGGAATAGATAAAAAAAAGATATAGTATTTTTAACAATGGAGTATTATTCAGCTATAAAAAAGATAAATTTGAGGCTTTTCGTAGATAAATATATGCAGCTAGAGACTATACTGGTAAGTGAAATAAATCAGATCTACTTGTGCACACATACTTGTGCACACTAGTGTGAGAACCTGAAAGAGTAATTAAACTTTAAAAGGTACAACAGATACTGTGAAAGAGAAAGAATTTGCTCAGTGGGAAGGAAAAACTGGGATGAGGAAAAGGACAAATGAAAGAAGAAAAAAGATAATATTTAGATACATATGCAGAATAGTTTGGATAATTGTACCATCGATTTCTGCTTGTCTTTTGAAAGGAACAGTTAATACTTAATTTTTTTTTTTTTTTACTCTTCATTTTCTTTCTTCTTTTGAATTTCATTCCTTGTTATTATTTTGTTTTGTTTTTTACTTTAATGAATTTTGCAAGCTTATATTTGGTAATCTGAACAACTAACTGAAGATAGCATCATATAATATAGCAACTATTGTTGAATTCCTATTACTTTTTTTAGTGAAATTTTGTATTGTTTCTTTTTATTTAATTTTATTTAATCTTTAAATTTTTAAATTTTTATGTATGTATGTATGTATGTATGTATGTATGTATGTATTTTTTGCGGAACTGGGGATTGAACTCAGGCCTTTGCGCTTGCCAGGAAAGCGCCTATTCTACTGAGCCATCTCCCTGGCCCCTTGTATTGTTTCTAATACTGTTTTTTTCTATCATTATTTGTATTCTTTAAAAATTAAAAAATAAAGTATTGATACTTAGCTAATCACAGTACTAAAATGCATATTCTCAAATTTAACACTAGCACTAGCTGTTGGTAGTTATAACGAGAAATTTTCAGGGTCCAAACTGAACATAAACCTCTGGAAAAAATTCTTTTATATTAAAGTATTTATTCAGTATCTTATTTAAGATAAACAAAACTCCCCATATATTCAGGAAAAAATATGTATATATTTCTAAAAATCCCTAAGAATATAATAAAAAAAACCACAGGATTTTTTTAATGAAAAAAATTATATTATAACAAAGACACTATACAAACATCTTTTAAAAACTGGTACAAAGTAAATATCTTTTTCATACCCACATGATCAAGTATATATTTTGATAGGATATAAAGCACACAAAAAAACAGGAAATAGGGCTCAAAATGAGAAACTCAAAGGAAGAACCAAATTCCAAGATCTGCGTTTTCTATCATTTTTGTGATCTTTAGGAAACATGTATTTTGTATAAGATGTTAAAGCGTTTTTCTTTTAAACATACTTACTGCTTACACAGAAAAGCGCTACTGAGGAAAAAGTCCACCATGGCTGTGTTTATCTATAATGCACTGGAGTACATATGAAATTCATTTGGAGGTTTGGAACCTGAAAACTACAATGGAGAAACAGGCTGAACTGTACTTGTGAAATCCTGCTTATTTTCAATGTTCAACTCAACACTACAGATATTACACCTTGTACTGCATAATAATGCAAAGGAATGAATGTCAAACTTTGCTGTAGAGCTGTTAGGAGAAAGCCAAACACTGATGCTAAAAAGTTTATGCACTTCTATTTAATATTCTGGGTATTTAAAAATAAACATTTTAAATATGTAAACATAAGTTTTCAAAAGGTGATGATAAACATTTTTAAACACAATACTGACACACTGTAACTAAACATGCATTTAGAGGACAAATGAATTTTTAAAAACTCATTTTAGAAACCATTTTTAAAGAGCTACTCATTGAAATACTTACATGAAAATATTGATAGTTCCAGTTTCTACCTAAAAACCAAAAGAGTATACAATTAGCCATTTAAACCTTCCTTCATGCTCTTGGTTTTTGTAAGAATTTTGTTAGTAGGAAGGAGGCACTGTAACTTTCTGTCCTGATAAAGAACAGTAATAGAAAAGACATTCATGAAAGTAAAAATACATATATTTTAACTATGCTTTGTTCAAAATCTCAAACTCTGAATCCTATGACATCACTCATCTTCACAGGTACCTAACAGGGGTTTGCATCTTAACAAGCATTTCTCCTTAGCAACTCAACATCAAAAAAACAAAGGAATGTCTCAAATGATACAGTTCAACTGGTGAAATATTTTGAATAAACATTTATCATTATTAGAAGCAAATCTATTACTTAAAACTTTAAAAAGTTTCCACAAAAAGTAGAAATAACAAATTGAAAAAAATACTGCCTACAGTGCAACTCTGTAAATTAATTTAGATTTATCCCTCTTAAGTACACACAGAGTAAGAAATCTGGGTTTGAGATAGCTAAGAGTTGTGTTTAATTTTGCCTAAAAATCAAATTTGGTAGCCTACTTGTACAAAAACTGACATCAAATATTTTCAATTCTTAAGCAAGGAAAACCAGTTCTTGTTAAAAATAAGATACAGCTAAATATTAATTTTGCATTAAATAGGATATAGATAATAAACTTTATATTCAACAGGCTATAAATTTAAAGAGTGAGAAATTTGAGAATTCGACTTGCAATATAACAGTGCTTGTATTAAGATACATGTCATATACCTGAAACAGTAACAAGAATGTGAGACTGAGTGAGGTGTACTAGTGCACCACGGGGGAGGCTGAAGCAGGAGGATCACAATCCCAGGTATACTAAGTCTAGGCAGCTTATGAGACAATGTCTCAAAAACAAAAAATTAAAAAGGGCTAGGGATGTACTTCAATGTGAAGCTAAAAGTGACACATGTAAAATATTGAAGTTAAATTGCATATTATATTGTACATGCTTTCAATATTAATAATATCCATTTGAAATCTTTACTTTTAAAAAATAAAGTGTAAAATATACCCAGACATTGTTTCTGGGAATAAAAAGCCTTTAAGCTGATTTTTTTTTGACAGTTATAGTTGACATTTCTAGTTTGCCAATCTTCCAGAAAACAGAAGTTTTTAATGAATATACTGATTAGTACTTATTTGGTATTAGAAGAAAATATACTTACTTAACAAGCAAATATACAAATTAAGACTTTTTAAAAGTTTTAAATATTAAATTCTGAATTATAAATACTTACCTTGAACTATAAATCCTAATACTTCAACACAATAAGAACTCTGACATAGAGAAATGTAAACATAACAGTCTTTTCTGACTAGAACAGAATCTTCAAAACAAAAAATGGGGAAAAATTCTGTTACATCAAAAAATTGCCTAACTTATTTGTAAACACCAGGAAATTCTATTGTTCTATTGAGTTCTTTCAATTTCTTCATCTTTCTACCTATAATTAGTGTTTTACCGCCAGTATAACACCAGGAAATATATATTGATGTCTGTTGCTCAACTGATCAATTCAAGTTAAAATTTTCAGAACTTACCAAGACACTTCTATTTAAATTAGATGACTACCAGTATGCTATTGGCTTGTTAAAAAAATAAAAATTAAGAGGCTAAGCTATAAGAGTAAAGACCTAATTGCCAATCTTTGTGTAAGTAAAATGTTTTACTTTTCCAAATAAGATGAAGTACAAATATTTTCTTAGCTGTCTGCTAGTTAAAAATTTCTTTACAACTTTAAAACATATATAACATCCTATATACATATACACTCAAATTATTTTTGTTTTTGCTTTTTTGTCTTGTAAGAACCAAAACTGGGTATTTCCAGAGATGAATTACATATAACCCTTTGTGTTCAGACTAAATTACTGTTAATAAGTTCAGATGGTCTTTTGAAATACTGACCATTTTAGGCAATCAAAAACCATAAGAATTATATAAAATAAAAACAGTAAAATATCTCTTAATGAAGGCAAAAATATGCAATTTTCAACAAATATACCAGTTTTAAATCAAAGCTGCTCATCAAATCAGTCTTCAGTCCAGTTATCACATGCTGTGCTTTAATATTCACCTTCTTTTCTAAGACATCAGAAGTCATCAGAGTTGTAAATTCTGAAAGCTTCAAAATTTATGTAGCAGATAATTTACAGTCTAAATTCTTTTTTGGTGCCATAGATAATGTTGGTTCTTTGGGGTCTTGCTTAACTTGATTCACAGAAATAGTACATCCCAGATTTTCTTCAACTTTAAAAACAAACACAAAAAAATTTTTTTTAAAGGTTAGTATACTTTTGGGCACTAGAATATTTAGAATTATATGAATTTAAAATAAAAATTTAAAAAATATAGCTTGGAAACAGAAGATGTAATTGTGAAAAATAGATCATATATTTGAAAACTCTGTGCCACCTCTTAAATCATACCTCTAATTTAGCTATGTGAGCTATGTATATGCTTATCTGAACAGTTCAGTATATACTTTCCAATTTCAGTATTTAAGAGTTTATAAGCAAATTAATCTAAAGGCAACATACCAGCAACAATGCTGTAAACTGGTAAGTAGTCTAACTTCAAATCTTCATCTCTCCTTCACAAAATGTCAGTTTTTCAGTTGTTACAAGGAAACAGAGGTATTTGATCACAGAAGTGTGCTGAATATATCTAATGCTTGTCACATACTGGAGTTCAACCAGAGACAGAGACCTAGTATAAACACTGCTTTGGCAAAATATAATAAAGCACACAGATTTGGATCCAAAGAGGGTCTTCTTTAAAGCAATCTGTACCTAGAAATACTGTGGCACAAAAAACAGGGATGCAGCCTGTTAAAATAGAAGAAAGATTTGGAAGGCACAACTAACTTGGATTTAAATATCTGCTCTGTCACTTAAAAGAGAGGAGCTTCTGGCAATAATTTATGCTCTGAGGGCTTTGGCTTTTCCCCCTAAGGAAGAATGGCACCACCAACTATGCCAGTGATGGCACAAATAGTCCACTGCAGGAAAAGTGCCATAGATTCACCACCACTGAACTATGCCATGCAGTTATGAGAATTAATTTATGTCTATTCCTTTCCCTTTTTAATCTAGCAGTTATTCAGTAGTCACAACTGCTACAGTCCTTTGCACACATTTTCTTAAAATATATATAATGTTTCTAATAAATGTAAAAGAAAGCCATTTTTTCTTGATGCAGCAGTGTTCCAGTTCTCCTTCTTTATAAGAATGC